GACATTTCTTCTGTGTGTGCACCTAAACCACAGAATCCACAGAACAGGAATAACAAAATAATGAGTATCTTGTAAAACCTGATAAGCTCAGTTTCCTCAAATGACTTGAGGAAACTCTTTGCCTAAAATGAAATGTTTTAATGATTTGAAATTTTAAATGGAATTGAATACACACATTCTAAGTATAAGCATACATCACAAACTATACTGTTGGAGAAATCTTTTAAGGAAACATTACATAATTTAATTTATTACTTTAAGTGATCCAACCAGTTATACTGTAATAATCACAAACTGAGATCTAAAAGAAAACTATTAAAATGACAGCTTTGAGAAAAACTACTTGGCAATAAATTAAGTTGCTAATTTACTACTAACTACTAAGCAGGGACACTAAACACATGATAACTAAACATGTACAGTGTATCCAAATTTATATTTAACCTATATAGAAGTTGTGAATGTGTTGTTTGTTTGGAAAAAAACTGAAAAGAAGAAAAATAAGAACTAATAAACAGAAGTCAGCTAACCCGCTTGGGTTATCAAGTCGTTGTTTAGGCAAAACCTGCTCTTTAAAAGTGCTGTAAATTATACCCAGAGTATTAGGACATAGTCGATTAAAACATTATTTTTTAACAACTATTTGATTAGTCTTTTATTTCAGCCAGGCAAGTAAGAATAATGTGGCATTCAAGTGTTTTTATCGTAAACAAATAAATGTGTGTTAAAGAACTGTCATTTTTTCATTGAACTTAAACAGTGACCACTATGTTGGCCCCAAAAATAAGACATGTTTTTCTCAGGTGTTAAACTATGCACAGTCAGTTTTTGCCATCAGTCTTAGTAAAAGGATATATTTAATTCTGTTTATTTACACACAGCATATAATCCATTTATAATGGCGTTGTGTTATTTCAGGGATTCAAGTTTCAGCAATGCGTGTCCAGCAACTAACCTAACCTTAGTAGAGATAATTTTCCGAGTGCAAAAGTATCCAAAGCAGTACAATTTAATTTGGTTGTAAATGCAAAGCACATTAAGGACCTGGCTTATAACTCTCTCACTCACTCACTCACTCACTCACTCACTCACATTTAGCAAGGCTGAAGATTCTCCACAAGGGGGCCCTATTAGCACTCCAGTAACTTTTGGGCGCTTGTTATGAGTGGTGTCTTATCATTGACATCTTGTGCGCTTGTTCTTGAGAGAATTTTTCTTAACTAACGTTTTTTTTAAGGGTTCTTTAGTAAAGGCAATGGTTACATATAGAACCAACACAAGTCCAAAAACATTTAAGTGATTCTTTGCATGGTTTAACGGTTCTTGCCCATGAGAGAGCTGTATATGGTTCTTGAAGGAACATTTTAATTTTTTACCCGATTTTTCTCCCCAATTTAGTCGTCTCCAATTCCACCCGCTAGTTAGGACTCCCCCAATCACACGATGCTATCAACACTAGGAGGGCGAAGGCTAACACAGGCTTCCTCCGAGACCTGTGAAGCCAACCACCGCTTCTTTTCGAACTGCCGCTCACGCAACGTCACTGGACAGCCGAACGCGCTCGGAGGAAAGCGCCAACCGCCAGATCTGTTACGTCAGCTAACAGACGCCTGCGCTGACTAGCATCGCGCTGAGTGATGGGGGGAGAAGGAGGGGCCATCCTACCCACCCAGAGAGAGCGAGGCCAATTGTGCTCTCTTGGACTCCCGGCTACGGATGGCTGTAGCATCACCAGGGATCGAACTCGCGATCTCCTGATGATAGGGCCAACGGTTGCGCCACTCGGGAGCCCCCCGAAGGAACATTTTTAAGAAATGGTTCTTCATAGCACCAAAAAGGATTATGATATTGTTATGGGTCATTGAACTGACCCATAAGCCTAACCTTTATTAGGGTATAGAAACAGCTACAGAGCTCAGACCTGTGCATTTGGTCTTCATACTGAAACAGCAGAAGCTGCATTGGTGGTTGGTATGAAGGATGGTCTCAGCTGTTTAGACAGGCACCAGTGAAGTGTGACTCTGTTATTGTTGGCTGTCTTCCTCGCTCACCTCTGCTGTTTTCCGAAGCTGCTTTAAAGTGACACATGCCAGCCAAAGATATAAGGGTCTTGGCCCTGGACAGCTGCAATAACCATTGACTGAGTCTGTGCGCTCTCCTCTCCTCTCCATGGGGCTGATGATGTCATGTTACTTTGATTGTAATCTGTCACTCAAGCACCCGAACTGTGGCTCTTGATTACAGCAAGAGGAATGATAGCCTCATCTCAGTGGCGCGCCATTTGTGGAGCACTGTAATAGGTCTTCCAGGCTGGACGGTCAGGTAGTCAGGGGATGCCTGATGCTTTGTTAACCCTTTGAACTTGCACTCAACACTGGCGATAACAAAAGCATTGTGGAATTTGATAATTATTTTTCTCCCTTGGCTCATAAAAACAGGCAGAGAAATGAGTGAGCAGATGATGATGATGATGATGATGATGATGATGATGATGATATTTATTTTGAATGTGATTGTTACTGTTGTGTGTTCGGTTTTGTTTTGCAGAAAGAAAAACATCCTTTAAAATGTTGATCTGTTTTTGTTGTCATGACATCAATACAAACAGGAGAATCAGATCTACAGACTTGAACCTGGCAATCTGGAATGTAAATGAACATAATTGTGTGCCTATATAATTACTACATAATTAATGATATGATTATGCAATTATATTTGAAATGTGCATGACTTTTGACTTCTAGGGGTTAACTTAACTTACTTAACTAAGGTCATCTCACTGTTCATTGTTCCTTCAGGACATGTTTAATAAAATCATGGTTCAGTTATTTAGTAATGTATTTGTTTAGATGTAGATGTCAAAGTGTATCTAGGATGCTAGGTGTAGCTAGGATAAGGATAGGTTGTGGGGTTGATACAGATATCTGATATTTTTCATGTACTTATTTGCCGATGCACAATACAGTAGTGGGTGTTGTAGCGGTTGAAATTCTTCCTAACTTGTGAGCTTTGTCAAAACCTTTGTTCCTGCTGATGATGTAACTTGTAGACAGTATGAAATACACTAACATTAGTGCCTTTAGCTGGGTACTGGGTCCTCGGCTGTCAGCAGGTATTGTTAGTGTGAAGAAATAATATTGTAGTACTTATAATAGGTAACCAAATTCCAGCAGTCTCTTGATCTTAGATAAATGTGTAAGAGTATGGAACGCTGAATGAGACAAATGACAAGAAATCTTGACGTGAAACAACATTTAGCATCGTTTTAGCCGGACCCAGAGAAATCGCTGAATTTAGGATTAGATTGCAATATTGACAATATGGAGTTTAACTATACATTGTTAAATTCAGTTCTGGATATTTTGCGCTGTTTTGCAATGTTTCAGACTCTTATTAAAAGTGAAGGGGTATCTCAGACTGTTAACCAACAAAAATAGGTTTGCTTAAACTGAAATTCCACATTTTTTTTCTGCATAATTCAGTCTTTGAGATGTAAAACAAAGTCATTCAGAGTGGTTTGATGTGAAATGGTTCATTGTAGAAACTTACCGGCTCAGGTTAGGATACAGTGGTGGTGACAGGGACCAGGGGTCATGATGTCTACAACATAAATATAGCCATTTTATTTACATAATGACTGGTGAACCTACACTTGTCTTCTGATTTTTTTTTTTATGTGTAATGTTGATAATGAAACAAAATGGTGGTAAGTGATATGTACCTTTCTGCCATTAATGAATTTTAAAAAATACATTTTAGGCCAAAAACTTTCTCAGAAGATTGTGAAACAGTGGCTCAGGTACCAGACTATGTATTCATAATCATTTCATGCTGTAATTTTAATGTGAGGGAGCTTCTAGAGGCATTAAACACTTTGGAAGTCTTGGTTTCTGTCACCACCACTGTGAACAGTTCTGAGTCTAGAACGCAGCACTTCACTTTAAAACAGAGTCATTCAGAGAGGTTCAAACATCTTATAGGTATACAGGGATTTTAGTAAACATTTATAAAAACGTAGAAATCAGGGTAAGATTCACTTGCACATGATTCCTATGTCATTATGCATCCCTGTGTGTAACAATTTGAATATTTTTCTGTGTTCAGTCCAGAGAACTATGAGTGCACTATAATAAAACACTTGGTATCAGAATTCTGATATCGTGAGAGCCCTGTGGGAGTGTGTGGAACTTGGTGGAGCTCTTGCCTCGTTGCCAGAGGGAGAGAGTGTGAGCTGAGTTCTCTCCCTGAGAGCAGGCTTGGCTGTGCTCCAGAGTCGCCATTGCTACAATGCTTCTGCCAATCCAGCCATGGCCCTGATCCAGCTGCTCAGATTCCTCTTTTCTCTTCTTCACTCACGTGTAATGTGGCCACGCTAAGACATATCTTTCGAGATAAACCTACACCTCTTCTCTGATGTTGCCACAACCCCTTGTTCTCTTCTTTGCTTGTCAAGCACTGTAAAGGTAGCAATAGTTCATACCTGGAGGCCCAGTTGAAGGCGTTTCAGGACTGTTCAGGACAGCGCTCTCGCTACTGCAGTAAGGAAAGCACAAATTGACCTGTGATTGTCAGCGCTGTTGAACATAAGAGCAGGCTGGCTACCTGAATTATGAACCATGCCTCTAGTCACTGTGGCTGCTTATGAGGTGTCTAGATCTAGATTTTCAATCAGCTTTTAAAGCACACAAAATTGTAAATGTCTAAGTGATTCATTCACTGTTGGTTTTGACTGTTTTTGCATTGTTGATGAAACAAGGAGTGCTTTGCTTTGTGTTGTGAAGTAATGCCTTTATAGCACAGCTGCATCATAGAATAAGGATATCAGCTTTTCACCTTAATAGTTGAAATATTTTAATTAGCTTATATGTTTTAGGCTCTTTTTCAGCTGCAGAGCTGAACACTAGTCTCTCACAGGCCCACCTGCTGTGTCTGTGGAACGTTCTCCAGTGTGTACTCCTGTCATTGTGTGCCTAATCGATGGCCTGTGATTTGTTTTGCAGGAATGCCTGCGGCGTCTCCGTCTCCAACACAGATTCAGAACTCATCCGAGGGCAGGCGCTTTTGATGAGATATAAGAAGAAGGACCTCCAGCACACAGTCATCAAAAAGGTAGGCAATAAGCAGTGCAAGGTCGGTACACTATGTTTGGTTCATAAAGACCTGGAAGTGGTGAAATAGTCAGACTGGCATAGATAAAGAAAGACGAACACATTTGCAGCACCTTAGAAGTCGAGAGTTATTACTTTTATTTTGCTGTACTATTCAAATGTAATTACTAGGGCTATCCATTAAAATAGTATTTTAATCACATTGCTCAGATTTTTTTTCCATTTGAAAAGGAGTGCATTTTGTCACAGCTATAAGAGTTACACGTTTTGTTGATTTTCTAAGTCAAAGTACAGAAATTTAACATATCGGGGGAAAAAAACAAAAAGTGGAAATGTTATGGCAGGTTTTTGTACTGTGTGTTTTACTGTCTTCCAATATGTAAAACTTAGGAAATAAATAAAGAAATTGAGCTCTAAAATTTGCAGAAAAATCCCATATTTAGATTTGTGCTCTGTAGAGGATGTGTTAACATTTTTTCACTTAGAAAATGAGCTAAACATATAATTTGACCAGGGGTGTTCAAAGTTTTGTCTTCAACTGAATATATTATATCATATACAGTGTACAGTATAGTCTTACTCACGTTCATATAGCTTTTGTTTTCTTGTTACAGGGGAAGCTCTTAAGGGCAACTGTAGCTTTCGACTTTGCTCTTGCTTGTTATTTGTCCATAGGTCTCCTGCCAGCACTGCTCAGAGTAGTCTGCTGAAGGGACAGCCGGTTTTGCTTTAAAAGACGTTTACAAGCTATATTTGTACAAAAGGGCTACAATAATTGATTCTGTCGTCATAACATACAGTGAGCAAGCAGCTGGGTTTCAGCCCAGACTACTATAAATAGTTTGAAGAGTCAAATTAGGAAAATACGTTGAGTGTTAAAATTATTGATGTTAATTATTTAACGTGTCAAGGCGTTATTAACATGTTATCTCTGACAGAATTATTAGTATTTACATAATTGCGTATTTAATTTCATAATGTGAACTACGTTTACATTCTTTTTCCATTCTGTATGTTTCACTGTCTAGCACAAACAAGACTGAAGACACATCAAGAACTTTTAATCAAATTCAGATAATAATGGAAATGTCTCCTCTTCTGCTTGCAAACACTAACTGAAAGTTTAGGAACTGCACTTCAGCGGAATTTCTCTGCTTGTTTCAACGAGCTTCGAATAAGAAAGAATTCATATGAAATTACCTATGCTTGTTGTTATCACTGACGATAACTGTGACTTCTAAGGGTTAATGGAGTAGTAGGAGGATTTTTTTTCTCTTTGCATGGCTTCTGATTACATTGGAGGAGGAAGTGTTCTGCATGTTCAGTACCCTGTGGAAAAGAAAGGCATTTTCCCAGCTTATTAAATAGCACAATGTTCATTCTTCTTATTTCTTGTAAAGTTTCCATCAAAAATAAAGCAGTGCAACAGCAGGAGCCTTTGTGAACACTGCAGCATACAATAGTTACGTTGTTCGTAAGATCACTGCTAGCACTGTAGTGGCGGTGTGGCTTTTACAGGAATTTGTGATTTGGGCTGTAATGGAATGCTCCTCTTAAGCTCTTAGATGCTACTTCAGCAGCTCATTATGCATCGATAAAATATCTACGACATAATCCAACCCGCTAATGTGTTCTCGCTGGTATTAGCAACTCGTGCAACCACACATGCTTTTTAGATTGCGGATCTACTTGTCAGTATGAAGGTTGCTGGATAGTCTGCTATCTGAAAGGAGCTTTTCAGAGGCCTCACGTTGGTGTCTCAGGTAGAGGCGGAAAAAAAGTGTTGCTGCTTGTCCTGCTAGAGCTGAGAGGATCTGAGATTGAAAGTAGCAGTTGTGAAGCAGTTCCTCACTGTATGTGTTGAGAGTGGAGCACAGAGACGGATGTGTATCAGCAGCACTAGGATGTAGGTGTGCGCGTTCCCATTAGCAGAAGGCTCAAAGAGAGCAAGATGTGCTCACTGCATGGGGCCAGACTTCAGAAGAAGCAGTGCAACACACTGTTCCCTTTATCTTGATGAATTTGCTTGGTAAAGATTACATTCACAGGAGTGAATGAAGGACAGCGCACCAAATCATCTGAAGCTTGTGCAAATATTGATGTTGGCAATTGCAGCCAGTGGCAAAGGTCCCTGTTTTGCTCTGTGGCAACTTGAGTGTTTGTCTCGTTGTCAAATGTGCTTTCTTTTCAATTGAAACTCTACATTCTCCACAAGCCTTTGACTTGCAAGAACCTTCTTTTCATTGAATAAGTTGGCCGGGGAGTTGCAAGTACGTTGGCTTTTTAAAATCTGTGCCCGCTGAGGCTGAGCAATGTTGGAGGTAAAAGGTACATTGTCATTTTTCAGATGGTAAATATTGCAAATAATGAAGAATAAAGAAGGAATCAAAACGTAACCAAGGTAAAGCACTCCCAAATATAGCTAAATATCACTCTAGTAATTGTGTTTTGAGTGTGAAATAAGCAGGACCACCTTATGGCTGCCTGATGTTACAGTTCACAAAGTCATAATTCAATGTGATACAGTGGTGTCTAGATTAAGAGCAGAATTTAGATTGGGAAGAGTTTACTACTGATTAAACCAATCAGACTAACAATATAATATGACTGACATGTGACTTATGTTCAACAATTCATGTTTAAAAAGGTCATTTTTGACAAAACCGAATGAAATTTTTAGAATTTTTAGCTTTGTTAGGTCACATTCTTTAAATATCAAGCAACAACAGCATTGAGAAATCACGTTCTTGAGGGAAAACAGAAGATGAAACTGCAGAAAAAGCTTATGTAAATGCCTTAATTCATCCAAACACCTTAAGAACATCTGTGACTGGTAACGATTCTCACAGCACACAAAACAATCAGTGATTGGTTAGAGGCTCATTAGCATATTGCACACTTCTGCAATATCACTCTTGTCGAAAACACTTAGCAAATATATTGTGCAGCCGTAGCAGCCGCTGAGAGTCTGTGGATGCACTGCGAAGAGCAGGAGTGTTGACCGTTTAATGGAGGCCTGAAGATCGCATGTAGCTGCTGGGCATCATTGCTCCCTTCACCGACTTCTCCTTTTCTTTTCACCTTATGGAGGGAAATTGTGGTAGAAGATGAATTATAAACTTTTATGAATAATTGAAAGCAATCGGCGCGATTGAATTATTAATAGGTGAGCGAGGCATCTCTTAGCGCGGGTCTGCTGTGTAGGGACTGGCTTACATGAGTGTGTGATCTGCATCAAATCCTGCTGGCTGAAATCAGATTAAAGCAGTTCTGAGAAGTGAGCGTTCAGATTCTGGCTGCTCATTTATGAGGTGTCGCACCTCTTAATTAAAGTCCTCTGGTAGCAGAGAATGGCTGTATTGTCACACCGCTTAATTACATCATCAAAAGGATCCTCCGTTTACGCGTAAACTTCAAAATAACATTGATGCATGACCTATAAATTATACAGGAGGTTCTGCTGGGAGGTTTTACAGTGGGCTTGCTCAGGTGGAAATGCAGATTAAAGAGCTACGTGTTGTAAGGTCTTATGGCCTTGTCTTGGTAAACAGGAAATTAACTATCCATGTGCACTATACATTACTTATGCGGAATATGTGAATTTGATACAAACAGGAGCCCCCCTCCTTTTAGAGGAATGGTTTGATGTAAAATAAGGTTTACGCTGTTTTCCTCTTACCTCAAATGTTGTTGATCAGCCAAGACATATTTGGTGTCTGAAGTTTGCTTCTTTAAGTTTGCCTTGGAGCTATTAGGCCTTTGTAGCTGACAAGTAATAGAAGCCTAGCTAGTGATCTACTGATTTGAAAGTCCTGGGATGAAACAGAAATTCAACTGAACTGACAAACATTTAATTTAAAAATGAATGTTTAAATTATTTCAGCATGTACTGTATGTGCCTACAAAATTCAGCGTTCTTAACAACAGATAAAGGTTGGTCATCTAAGGCATTTTTGTTTGTTTTTGTTTTTTGTTTGGTTATATTTTGCAATTTTTTGACAAATTGTGACACTTGGTTGTATGCCTATTTCATTTTTGGGGGAAAACATTTTGGCCTTTTGTTCTCTTTTGGCAAAAACAAAAAGCACCATTTTTTTGGCTGTAGATTTACGGTGGCCAACATTTCAATGTATTACTAACTCTAGCAAACTAGATCTAGCAAAATCTCATTGACTTGTTAAATAATCTCAAAAAAAAATATGCTTATGTGGTTTTAAACAGTGTGTGACATACTGCAAAAGTGGACAAAAGAACTTTGCAGAGCTAAAAACACTTGTAGAAGCCTGAATTTTGTCTGTACTTTTGTCTGGTTTATTTATTTTTTTATTTTTTTAACAAACTCTCCCTTTAACCATATTTTCTGTGTAGATAATAACACCGGCAACCCAATCCTTCCTCCTCTTATAATACGGATATCTGGAACACCTCCTGGATTAACTCTGCAGCTAAGATCATTTACAATGAGATACTGCTGGTGCCCAGAGCACTGGGCTTGTCCAGGTCCTCTGTTAGTATGTTGTTGTTTTTTATTTTTTGATGTAAATGTAACGCAGCCTCACAGGTGTTCCGGAGCAGAGCTGGAGCATGTGCGTGAATACTAATGAATCAGAGCTTTCAGCAACTTGATTGTGTTTGCTTTAGCTCCAACCACGGCCGCTGACAGGTGGGTAGTGGCCGCCCAGTACTCGTTTATGTTACCCATGACGCCTTTTTTCTTTTACGCTCTTCTTTCTCCCTCTCTTTCTTATCCTCCCCCCGCTGTCCTCCTTGTGATGGGCTAATGTCTGATCCATGGCTAGGCTGTGTTTACGATTCGCTCCCTCTCTCTTGCAGTCGGCTGCTCTGGAGCACGTCGGAAGTGTGTATGGTTCTGTCCTGTGTGCATGTGTGCGTGTGCGTGTGCATGTGTGTGTGTGTGTGTGCGTGTGTGTGTGTGTGCGCGCTCCATCAGGGAAATAACACAGTGAAGGTCGGAACTTTGAGGAGCTGACAGGTGCGTGC